AGCACTGGCCTCAGCTCTATGCATAACCCCTTGACCCTCTCATTTGCCAAAGGCAAAATGCCACCAAAGTAGGTAGCAAGTGAGAAGCAGAGGCACAAGGTAGGAATGCTGCTGCCTGAGACCACCAAGAAAGTTTCTTACAGTAGCAATGGGCACTTTTTGCATAGAGCGGCACTAATTACTTATCTGGATGCACAGATTACTAGACGACTTGGATGCTCTGTTTTTCGATAAACTCTTAAACAAAGAGCCTAGCCATAAAGCACCTGGCATTTCTGTGTGTATTGACTTTGATCAGCTTCTTCATATGTTTATTTGCAGACACTACACAATATAGCAAATCCGCCTACAGGGTGAATGTACAAGACAATAATGGATATATTCCCCTTTTTCTTTGATTTGCTCAAGGTAGAATTTTCAATCAAATTAATCAGCCACTGCCACCCAAAAGCTTCAGGCAGAATCTAACTAACCCCTTTGCACTGTCTCCCATCCTATAATTCATGCACAGGAAAGACTCATTGAGGAAAAAAACCTGTAGAGATAAGACTGTATTTTCCTTCACATGCTCCTCAGTCATGATGCCTACAAAACCGACTATCTGAGTTCACCCGCCATTATCAGACTGCCCCAGTAAGTGGTAGCGGTGATATGGCAAGGAAAAAGAAGCGAGTTTCTCCCTTGCATAGGCAGGGAAGTCCCTAGCTTTATTATCATGTGTCTAGGTTTAGTGCTATAGCTAATTAATTGTTTGCTAACATTTCCAAGCCTTGTGTATTTATGGCTGGGAGTGGCCAGTTGAAGGAAGATGGCAGGAGAAATCAATCAGGTAAGTTATGAGAAGAGAGAAGCATGGTATGAAGAAATTTTGGAGGAACAAATAGGATAAGAAAGAAGAAACTTGAGGAAAAAATACTTCCAGGAAAGTAGAGAACACCTTGCTGGTTAGAAAATAAGGAGGACCCCAGGGGGGATGAGGATAAGAAGAAACAATAATTCTGGAAGTGATGCATCAATGAATCAAGAGCGAAGCCAAGAATAAAACTGAAATACTCTCTCTTTCTCTTGCTTTTATTTTGTAAGGCTGGGCACATAGTATTCAGTTAATAAATTATTCAGTCAATTCCACTGCAATTCAAACAATCTATTGTACAATTCTTGCAGTTATTGTGATCAACTCTATAGCCAGGCAAATAGTCAAAAAACAGTAGCATCATTTGAATGATAGGTTTCTAACACATGCTACTGTTTGATCAGCCATAGCAAGAAGCAAGCTACATTTTTAAACATATTAAGTAGTCTGTTCAATAATGTCGCAATTTAATTCAGAATGCAAACTGACAATGCTCAACTACATTATTCTCTTAAACTGTTCCAGAGTGGGCTTTTGGGTATGCAGTAGCATGAGCGCGTTTCCTGGCTAGTCAGGGTTAAGTAATTAATTTCCAAATGCTGTCTCTCTGTGGAGAATCTATGGATGTACAATTTATGAGAGTTCATTTGAGATCACAAATTTTTATAGATTTTTTTTTATCATTATCAACTCTATTTTGATTATAAGACTAGTCTGCATTCTTCACTGTCCTTCTGTTTGCATTTTGAAGGAAATTCCAAGGAGACATAATGCAGGGCTAACAAGGAGGGTCAATAAATCTTGATAGTCTCCTATTAGAAATACCCTGGACAGAGAAGACAGCCAGACCAGGAAACCATTCTGTCCAGGCTGGCAGCTAAACCATGGATCACCTACTGGAAGATAGGTGTTTTATAGTTTTATTTGGCTCTGCGCATCTTTTGATCTGTCTAAAGTCAAAAGCAATTAATTTTAGACCCTCTTGTGCAAAATCCCCATGTTACATGCTTCAACTGGCACATGTCCATGGAGCACTACTAAGTCAGCATCTGCAGGAGGAGAGCTTTAGGAAAGGGAGCTCTGAAGTACGCCAAGTTCAGAAGTCTCCTTAAATTCTGGAGTATGCCATTTGGTCCTGGTGGCTTAAGGCAAATAGACCCCCAGATCTTATCTCTATGACGTGCAAAGAGACTGTGCAGAAAGTGTGCCAATGAAACCCAAGAGAGAAAGCTGGCGTTGGAACCTGCCCAGAACAAGGAAAGCTTAAAAGCACATGGGTCCAGTGCTTGGAACCTGAACACAGCAGCTTGGTTCAGC